GCGAACTGTGCGTTTTTTCTGTTCGGTGTGCGTTTGTCTGTCTTGCGCAGCGTTAGGGTTGAGTTGAGTTGGAAGTATACTCCCACGCGGCGTTCAGGTGGGTTGGAGGCGAACAGTGCGCGAGAACATTCGCGGTCGCGTACTACGACTTTGTGTCGAGCGTAAGACTCGCAGCTGCGCCGAGCTGACAGGCGCGCTCACTACGTTTCTGAGTATACACGCGATCGTCGGCTGACTCTTTAGGTTCTACGGGAAACATGCTGACTATATTTTTTTTATGCGCGTATTCGGCTATTTTGTTATATGGTTCTCTGAGTTTGTAGTAGCTAGCCTTCTTCATTTTTTTTTTTAATTTTTTATAACCATCGTTTCATCCGGCGAATAATTAGTCTGTATGTCCCCCTGTTGTGACATGCTCGAGCACTAAATCAACTTGTTTCGCTCGGAAAAAGATACAGCGGCTCTTCATTTTTTTTCTTTTTATTACGAAGGTTGATTTTACTTTATGATTAATGATGTTTTTTTATAGTTTTTATTCAAAAGAACCATAAACATCGGCAGTGCTGACTGAGTGCACGCGAACGCATTAATCCAGCGACCCTGCTTAGAGCTTATATATATATTTTTTTTTTCGGCTTCACTCGAGTTTAAATTTCCTAGGAAGCCCCATTTCAGCTCGAATACCAGTTGCTTTTCCTCCAGCTTTAATCAGAATCCATGATTTTCATGTAAATTCAATATCCATTCGAATTCTTAATTTTAAAATGTCCTCCTTTTTTTTTGTTTGAATGATGGCAACAAAGAATGTTATTTGATCCGATTCACGGGACTAATTTTGAGTAAATGCTCTTTAGGTGAACTTGACAGTTTGAAATGCAGACTATATATACCACTTGGAAAGTTTCCGTGGAATAAAACCTATTTTGAAGCTTCATAACATTGTTATAAATCAACATTTGATGACATTTTGTGGTAGTGTTCTAAACAAAAAATCAAACGGATTATTAGAAAAAAAAATTTTACTTTCTGAAAGTTATGAAACCTTAAAGTACGTTTTTGACATCGCTTTATATCTGGATAATATTCGAAAATGTATTCAGATTTTTAAAGAGATGTAACTCGATTGCGGTGAACGCTAAAGAATGTTGTAGATGATCTAGAGTTTTCATACTTTATTTAGCTCATCCGGCTTCTGTGCCACGATACATTTTTCAAATAACTCTTCCGGCGTTCACATTAATCGTCTCGGATCTCACTGAGTGTTAAGTCACCCCATAAAAGAACAGACATCAAGACGAGAATAAGAGAGCGAGAGAAAGACAGCACGAGAAAGAGAGACAGACCTATAGTCGTTGACAGGTTAAGAGTTCAGGGGAGACTACTCCCACCTGTTTCAACTTTAGCAAAGCCAACGCTGACCAACGCTCCAGCGTTGACCCTGCTATAGTGGAAAGAGGTGGGAGGAGCTTCCACTTTAGTCTTAACCTGTCACCGACTATAAAAAGTAAAATGAAGGTAAAAACAAACAAACAAGAGACAAACATTTAGATGGAACGTGAGACAAAAGAATGAATAACAAAGGACAGGAAGTGAAGTGAATTGAGGCCATTAGTGTCAAACAACCTTAGCCCTGGTCATGTTTTCCGAGGAAATAAAAAATGCCAAGTGCGAATAAATTGTTTGAACTGCCATACGGCGCATGCTTTAAAGAAGAAAGTTGAACGAAAAATAAAAACCGAATATTAAGCTCCTCCTTATAAGGGGAAAAACTTCATCTGATTTATTAAAGAATTCAGCCTCCAATTATGCATTTAACGTGACCAATTGTCTTCGTTTTGTTTTACCGACAAGTTCATCGACGTGTTTAAACTCGTTTACAAATATTCGCCGATTGAATAGCTGTTTTGGTGAGATGTGAAACAATACGAGACAGACATGACGTCCCAGATGTACGCGCTCGAAATGCGATGCGTGATACTTTCAGGGAGTCTTCATGAGGGTTCACAAGGATTGCTTCAGGTGAGGGCTTGACTCAACGCACACGTTCGCTATCGTTGGCAGTGCTTTAGTCGAGAGTGTCGCGAAGCCTTGTTTGTTTATTTTTATAGATATCCTGTCATTACATTTGACCGCGGAAAGTTTAAAAATGGTGTGTGTGTTTGTGTTTGTGTACGTGTGTGCGCGCGTGTGTGTGTACGTGTGCGTGTGTTTGTGTTTGTCTGTGTGAGTGTGCGTGTGTTCTTTTTGCTACAAGCAGTGCTGTTTTTTAACTTGCTCATTCAGAGCGGTTGGGAAGAGCAAAATTATTTTCAATCCTCTTTACTGTGACTGTGAATCGAAATTAATTTTATTTCCTGTAAAAGAGGAAACTTATTTTTTGTGTACGTGTGTTAGAGTATTGTTTGTAGGGAACGTCCCAGGAACCCTTGCCAAGGACGCCATACCTCGTGCAAGTGTTCAGCAGGGCGGGTACGATTTGAGTACAAGTTAAACATAAGACAAAAATTACAACTAAATAATAATAAAAAGAAACACTAGTAGGCATAAGTAGAGCCAGTAGGTGAGCTACGCTTAGCGTATCGGCACTCTCTTCCCCGATAATGTTGTGGGCGCCGCCATCTTGGTGCTTTGCAGACCAGACGCAACTGCCGATCGTCACGATCCAAAAGTGCGACTTCCTCAGAACTCGATTCGGTGTAAGGTAGCTCATGTAATAATGCTTTGCTCTGTCGCGAACTGTTTAGACATTTGTAGAGGACCAGGAAGCGTTTCCTGTGATTTAATTCAGATAGCTGGCAAGTATAACTTTAAGCCACAAGATGGGTAAGTGTCTTTACTTTGGAGCGTAGCTTATTTAAGGGCACTAGGCACGACCTTCAAGCAAGACTGAACGTTTCCGTTTCTCGACGACGTTTTTTTTTGTTTTTTTTTTTATTTAACTTAAATTACGTAACAAAATTGTTTGTAAATGTGGTTATATTATAGGATATTTCATAATCTGTGTTTAATATCGGGTATTTTCCTGCAATATCTTTTTTACGCATTATTTTGTGTACCTCATCTCTCGCGGATCATCTAAAATAATTCTTACGAAAAGTTAACTGTAACGTGCATTTCCTTGGGAAAAGCAACTAAAAGAAATACATTATATTTTGAGATTCGTGCTTTATAGTGAGATAGTTCTCGGTGCCTGGGGCACGGCGTTGAATGGCACACAAGTAGGACTTTCCGCTCGCACTTCCGAAGAGCTTCCCGTCTATTTGCACCTTTGGCATTCGTCGATGCCAACTAATGCCAAAGTTGTTGAAGTCCCACAGATACTAAAGGAACGCGTCACCTCTGCAGTTTGAACCAAGTAAGGTATTGTTACAGCTGCGTTGCACTACGCTCGTCTATTACGTTTATGTATGCAATAAAATACGCAAATTGACATATTATGAATATTTCTCTAACAAACTCAGGAATGCGCTAATAAAGTTCACCGGCAGGAATTACACGCAACAATAATAAAAATAACATAAAAAAAAAGTTGTCTGAAAAAAAAATGGCGCCTTTCTGTGTCATTAGTGTACAATGGCCCGGTAGGGTTTCTTCGTTGTTTCTGAAGAGAAAGCACATTGCGCGAATGCCATGCATACAACTTGTTTACAAACAAATCGGTATTTGCTCAGTGTGGGGATCGCGCATGCGCAGAATTCCGGTTCGCTTACGATGAAGCATCTGCGCATGCGAAGAGCCGACAGCAGCACCACCGCAGTGTTGTGCCGTTAATAGCCGATTCACACGACGGACTGATCCGCGGACGGATTGATCACGTGACGGCATATCCGCGGTTCGTCCGTCTCCCAAGCGCATCCACACGAGGGAGACGACGAGCAGACGCCAGTGAGGACGGACCGAACCTGTTCGCACCCCACAGTGCCGCGAAACTCCAACATCGCACAGTAGCACCGTTGTCCAAGAGAGAAATCGACGGTTGCTACCGCGATAAAGAATCGTACGCCGCTGCTACGTACAGATCGAGAACAAAACACCGGGACAGGCTTCGCGCGAAGCGCCACCAACTTTACTAACCCAAAGCATGACAGTGACACAGGCATGACCCTGCCCGAGAAAGCTTCGGCGTAGACGCGACGAACTTCTGGGCTCGCGGAGGGGCGTTTGGAGATGCCTTCACACACTCCGCGCTCGTGCACAACACTCAAGCACACCACATCCACAAGAGAGGGCTTGCTCGGTGAAATCCTGATTGGACGTGCAAGAATTATCACGGCGTGCTAGACTAGTTTTGATGGGAGCTTCTTGACACGGACCCGGAGGAGCACCGGAACCTGCGTCGCGTCAGCCGGACAAAGTTTCTGGAGTTTCTCTCACGCGTGGAACCAAGAATCGTACGACAAAATGAACCAACAAACGCACAAAGCGCAACGACGCGCCATTTTTGTTTTGAACGCACAGAAGCAAAATACCAAGAAAACCATGTACCGTTGCCAGACTAAATGCTTTCCAAGTCAGTCTGCCGCCAAACGTCCGCGAGTGAAAAAGGCGCTCGACTTTATCAGTCCGCGCCTCCGCGGAGGAGGCGCGGATCGCAGGAATCGGTGACGTGCCGGTCACGTGGTACACGGTCCGCGGACGAAAATCGCGATTTGGTCCGTCGTGTGAATCGGCTATAAAGAGATGGGTTAGCGCCCCAAGTGCGCCGTTAAAGAGATGGGTTAGCGCCCCAAGTGCGCCGTTAAAGAGATGAGTTAGCGCCCCAAGTGCGCCGTTGAAGAGATGGGTTAGCGCCCCAAGTGCGCACTACCCAATTTCACCACACCGCGGCGATTAATAACAATCTATCAAAAAAAAAGGAGGTGATTGCTGGTTTGCGCAGACACAGTATCCCGCCATGTATTACATCCTCGCCGCCGCCCCCTCGCCTTCAGCCGATAGGTCGCTCGGAGCGCCGCGGCCCGCGGCGTAGTTGCTCTCGCCTCCGAGGGGCGGCGCTGACTACATCCAGCTTGCGCGACCTCCGCCACCTGTTCGGCGGCGAGTCTTCATACCTGGTTTTGTGCTCCATCCGAAACGAGCGAGCCGCGACCCTCCGCGCGCACCGACGACTACTACGACGACAAAAAGAAACTCTTCGCTTCCCGACGACTCCTCCAAAAGTGCGTGTTGTTCTTGTTGTTTTTCTGGGCTCCCGCGACAACGTGTTTGTGCTCGTCAAGAACGCCTGGTTTTCGTGCGTGCGTGTGTGTGCGTGCGTTCTTGTGTGTGTTCCGGCACGACTAGGAGAAGGTGCTGTGTACGATCTGAAGATCCAGTCCGACCGGACAAGCCGTCGGTTACCTCCCCAACTACTTCCTTGGATTATACGTTGTCTTCGTTCACATCTGCCGCTGGAACCCGGAGCGCTGGGAAGAGAACTCCGCGCCCGTAGTGGAGTCTCGCCAACACGGTGAGTGGAACCGCTGTTCCCAAAGTTGTTTACTCCAACGTCCGGTGCTCTTTTTTTTTCCGCTCTGGCTTTTCCGCTTGCACTGAGGTCATTCCGGAGCGGGTTTCCATCGAGGACATTCTTTCCCGATGTACGACGTTTTGCGATATCGCATCGATATCTACACTGCGCAACACTGTTAACGCAAACACGACTTCGGCGCCTTTTTTTTTTTTTCGTTTTATTTTGAAAGGTAATTGGCTGGCATCAAAATTTACCACGCAAGAGTGAAATGGAGGCTGCTCCCATCTCTTTTCACTTTAGCAGAGCGAACGTTGGAGAGGAGGTCGCCTCGGTCTCCAGCGTCCGCTCTGCTAAAATGAAAAGAGAGAACTTTCACGAGTATAATAATTCTGACAACATTCCTTCAATACTTAAAAAAGAAAGGCGGGGTGGCTTGTTTGCTTTAACAGTGTCGCCGAGTGTACCTTTCTAGGATATGTTTTTATTCACGCCGCCTTTCAGTCACCATTACTCTCGAGCTGCAGGAACGTTTCAACAGAAAGAAGTCTATATGTGGCACAATAATATAGATGAATTATTAAACGGTGTGACGATGAATTGCGTAATCGAGGAGCAGAATAGGTGCGGCTTTTTTTACTTCCAGTTCGGTAACGCAAAACCCTAATTGACATTTTTTTTTTTTTTTTTAGAGATTAGTTTGAAGTGCGGATTAGTTTGGCAGGTGGTCGCTGCACTTTAGCGACCCGACGAACAAACCCGGGGAGATGTAGGTGGAGGGTATTTCGTGACTTCAATCAAGCGTTCCAGTTTTAATTTAGAGCGCGCGCCGTCGCTTCCAGCTAATCTACGCTCAACCGAACTAATTACTCGCGTTGACAGCGAAAACATATCGTCTTGCAATGCTCTCATGCGGGCTTGATTTATTCTTCCCCCCCCCCCCCCCTTCCCCCCTCTGTGGTTGTGTATTTGTTTGTTTTTATTTACTCCGGTCTTCTTTTCTTACTAGGGTTTTACCACAGGTTCATGCAGTATTACGACAAAAAAAATGCCAAAGACAACTGATGAGTTTGCTCGTGTCATCTCTTTGTTTCTTTTCTTCTGGTGTAGAGTAACAGGACTTTCATCATTTGTTCTCGGCCGACTTTTGGCAGTGAAAACTTTAATCACGGAGAGGTCGGCGGTAAACACAATTTTTCCAGAAAATATTCTCATTTGTGGTTGTCACTTTTGTCCCCTTTTTTTAATCACCTTCACCCTGCGCTCCAGATGTGCCGAAGAACAAACAGTAAATGACGTGATCAAAATAAGAAGGCCGCTGCTGTACAAAGCTGTCAGTGCGTCGATGCCTCTTAGATGCGTTTCGCTCTCCTTGAAGTGTCTGACATAGCTTCTTTATGGCAAAGAATAATTGGAACGACTGCACGACAGGCTCCTGGTGCTCAAGAACAAGCGTATCAATACGTTGCGACATCTGTCGAGGACATTACCCACTAAAATGTCAGTAGAATTATCAGTCACCAGTCAAATCAGTTGTAAGGAGCAGATGTGGGAAGAATTAGTAGGCGGTTTATACAGTAAACGTCTTCTTTAAAGCGACGTATTGAAATGTTAGAGCTTTAGACAATAATCGCGTTCTGGTCGCCTCCCGTTGAAGCGGCAGGTTGAAACACTGTGATGTAACTTTGTGATGGAAGCGTACGCCCTTGATCCATATGAAAGAGAAAATGCCAATCCAGGTCGTGCCATCACCGCGCAAGGGTCGAAGGTCACTGCCCATCAGAGCGAGAATAGTGGGACGCAAAACAAACCAAATTCGTCTCTTTTTATTTTCGCGTACGCAAAACGGCGATTCGATCTACAAATGCAGTGATGGTGGCCTTATGTGCCCGTCTGCGACATCATATAAAGAAATAACATTTGATGGTCGTCGCTAGCGTATCGTTAAGTGAAATGTGAAAAAGCGACGATGTCGTGATCGCGCTAACTGCGTCGTACAGTACAGCCGTTTCTTGCCCAACCTTCGTCGTTCTCTTTTCTTTTTTTTTTCTTTTTTTACGGACGGCGTAATGTGGTATATGTACTTTCTTTATTTCACATAGCCCGCAAAATACACGAGGACGAATGGCGTCGGCCACCCAAGAGAAACGGGCCACATTATTGAAAGTTTCCGAAAATAACTTGAGAACATTTTTTAATCTGAAAACGGCGGGCTGTGAAACTTTGCCAGCTGGTCCGGACCGCCGGAGCTACATTTGAGGTGGAGACTGAGCGTAGTTTGTTTTTCCGCAAAAAAACAACAACAACACTGTCAAGTCTGTTTTTGTTTTTTTTCAGAGATACGAGCGTCTTGGGAATACTCGCGGTCTCGTTCAACGGCTTGTCGTGTCGCGTGTCGCGCTTAGGAGGAAAATTGTCGTCCGAGCAAGCTTCTGCCCCGCCCGACCGCTTGCCAGACGAGGAAACACGTCGGTTCACGAACGTTGTCCGAGGAACCGAGCTCTTTCCGTCGGAGCGCCCGTCCCACAAGAGGAAACGGGCGGACATTGCTACTCTAGGCACCTTTCGAAAGCCACGGGCCGATTATTGGAAGGCCGAAACCCCTGGACAGTGGCCGAGCAACTGGCATCATGAATCGTGCAAGTCATTCCATATAAGACAGCCCACGTCGGAGCACAGCCAGAGCTACGCGCTGGCGAGCCAATCAAACAGCGTCGAAAGTGCAACGTCACTGCGCTCATCACCTTTTCCTCTGGGTGTTTTGTTGCCTTCCAATCCAACCAAGCACATAAAGTGTACGCCGACGTTGCGGTTCCGCCAAAAAGGGGGCATTTTTTCGAAAGGAGTCTTTACCCAAAGGCACTAGCAATGAGGTCTACCCACTATTTTCTCAATCAAAGCCAATCAGAGCTCGGTTCTCTGACGTCACGACAACCCCCGCAGAAGACACAGACAAACTTGCGCTCCGTACATTCCGTTTCCGACCAAGCAGCGCTAAAAGTGCGTCGTCACGGCGGTCGTTGTCTTTGTGGGTTTGCTGCCACGGGCCTAAACCAATCACGCACAAAAAGAAAGAAAAACAACAACAAAGGCGCGGGGTTGAGGCACGCATTCGCAGCGGTGATTAGTTTAGTAAGCGGTGGCAAACGCCCAAATGAACTTTTGGGCTGCTTCATGGAGTTTATCAGATCGTGGCGTGGACTCTAGCGCGAATATATCGTATACCTCGTGGTTTTGGCCGCTCCAAGTTATTGATATCAATCCTCGTGATTACGTCGATATTATAATTCTCTTCTCTTTTTTTTTTTTTGTTGTTGTTCGTGTGTGTGTCGTTTGTCGGCGCCTTGTTTGCTGGCCGGTGGAATATTTTGTCGTCGCCTCCTGTTCCGCCCCGTCCTTATCTCGCACAAACATCGCCTTCGCGGGAATGAGCGCCAGCGAGTGATGCGCCACGAAACATTTCGAACTTCGGCGAATTGAACCTTTATCTCCGTTCACGGGAAACGTTTTTATATTAGTTTTACTTCGAGTCTTGTTATGTAACCCGGAAACAACCCGCTCACTTTAGAGTGAGAGAAAAAAAGAAAGGAAAAAGGTGAGTCGTATAGGCGTCTTAATATCGTCATGAGAGTCTAAGAAAAAAAAGGTAATTGCGGGGAAAAAAACAAAAATAACTTAAGGAAACGATTTGGCCTACCGGACTGAACCGCTGTTTTAATATGCTTCATTGCGGATGCGGTCAGTTAATTGGGTCTATATTTAGACTCGCTCATGCAAATCATCTTAATGTCCGACAAACAAAAATGGAAGCGTATGGGGCATCTTGCTGTAGCATACCCCGTGGTCAGTTTGAGCTGCAACTCTTTGAGCTGCAACTCTTAATCCGGCTTATTCTGCGTCTTCAACCCCGCCATTTCCTATAATCTCTCGAGTTGTCATAGAGTCGACAGAATAAAACCTAAGCTCCTTCACGCTCCATCTTACGATTTAAACCAAAGTTAATGTTTTTTTTGTTGTTTTTTTTTAACCGACAGGAACCGCAAGTAAAAGAAAGGATTGTTGCAGTTTATAAACCCTTTCTTCATGGGCGCCGCCACCTTGAATTGCTGTCACATCCAGTATGGGCGAAAACATTGTTTTGCCGTCGCCACGCCAGTAGAAGACAATTAGGACATGAGCGTAACCGTCACAGATTATCGTTTTGCCTCCCCTTTATTTTTTTACTAGTTACAGGTTGAAACCTCTTAGTATTTTTTCTTTGCACATACCGGATACGCCTATTAGGTGGCTGAAAACGAGAGTACACCGAAAAGGTCTATATTGTCCGCGGTTGCACCTCGGTCTCTCTTCCTGCTCGTTGCGAGGTGGACGCTGTTCGTTGCCTCCCGTAACAAACGAACGCGTAACGGCCCAGAATGGTAACAGCGGTTCGCCAGTCGGCGCCGCGACTTAAAAGTGGGTTCCTTCCACTTGCACTGGCGCCAGCGATCTACAGTCGAGTGCTATCTCTTCCAGCGCGAGGTCCTTGCGCGGGCGTTATCTGATAAGCGACGCGAAGCGCTATTAAGGCTCAAGTGCGACCGTGGGCCGGACAGAACTGCCGACAGTGGAGCCGGCCGTGTGCCGGATTCGGCCGGGCTATCTTCCGAGTCGCGGTGTCGTATTTTGTTGCCTTCTCGGCGTGTCGAAGAGTTCGTCGAGGAAGGAGTATTTGCGCCGCGTCACGAGACAACAAAAACAAAAATAAATGCAGTTGAAGAACGTGTGCGGTAATTGCTGCTCATATTCCGGTATTTTCTAACTAATGTGCGATCCAAGTACAGTCTCCATCAATAAGAAAGACCCATTCGGCAATGCAGCTTAGGGTGGCTGCGCGGGGTTCGCTTAAAGAGATGCTGAACCGAAATTTTTGGTGGAAATTCTTGGTCGCAATGGCATACATAGCATGTCCTTTACTTCTAAATGACGTTGTTTTGAGCGAGAAGGCGTATGAAATTGAA